GGGGGTTGGGAGCAGTGCACCTCATTTCCATAGTGCGCTAACTGGCAAACATTCTCAAACGCTAAATGTTTTCATGATTTTTATTTAATATGCATTGATATCTTTCCAGGAAGGAGAAACAGTAACTCTGACGTTCCTCCCAGACTGGTGGTTAGGGATGTATCCCCCAGCTTCTCAGCAAGGCCTGCTTTGACTTTAAGGGCGGTCTCCTGCTGAACAGAGCCGATCAGTGGAGCTGGCAGCCAACCAGAAGAGTCGCTGCACAGACCCCGTAGCCAATGGGAGCTCCTGCTGGGCGGAGCTTACAAAACCAGACTGAACCCAATGACTCAGCAAAGGCTGGTGCGTGCGAGATGACACTTAACTGCAATTTAAAGAGGCAGCGCTCAGCACGCAAAGTTACAGGAGGGGGGCTGCTTCTGCACACCCACTGGTGGCTTTCTCTCCTTCCGCTGGGTTTACGGTCCAGGAAGAAACATTATTAAATCGTCTTTAAGGGATGCCGGGCCATTTTAAAGGGGCCTTGTTTGACGGACGGAAATTGAGCAGAGATCCTCTGTGAGTGTGAAGTATATGACCCCCACCCCCCGGCTAGATGCCTTAGCGTGTCGCTGTAGCAGCATGAAAACTATGGCTTCATGCAGATGGACAAACAGCAGTGACATCTACATTAAAATGCATCACTATTATCACATATCTGCACATAGAAGGGCTGTTATGGCAGGATAGGAATTTTGGGCATAGTTGTGGCGTCTCTGGCATGTGAGCGAGGTCAGAGCCTTCTTGTGTTGTGGGCTCTCACTGAAGAGCCATCGCTGCAAGGCCGAATTTCTGGATCACGGGTGACCGACAGCACAGCGGAAGAGGCTGGACTTCTGGACTTCCTCCAGGCCACGACATTGTGGTGTGGGATGGGGGGGGGGAGTATCACTAAGGCTGACTGTTTACAGCATATCTTCGGTTTTTAAAAATTTCTTTTCCGTGTCTGTGAGCAGTATTGTTTTACGGCAGTTAATTGAGCCTGTGACTATGGAAAGTTCCAGAAGCATTGTTCCACGCAGAGCTGCAGGCGTCAGCATAGCAAGCTGGGCCCCAGCTATATATACATCACACCCTGAACCCGAAGAGAGCTGCCTGCTCACAGAAGCTCATTTGGACCCTGTATCACGGGCCGTCTCGTGTCTTTGCAGGGCGAAGGCACCAGAATGTTCTCTGTTCTGATATGCTTTAAAACACGCTGCTTGTTTCCGGAATCAGGCCGGAGGCCAGACGAAATGCTGGCCTTGTTACTTTAAAAAAAAAAAAAAAGCTGCCATCAGACCCACATTTCCTTAATCTCTGCACCTAGCAGAATAGATAAGCCCTCCGCACAGCCAGCCGACACACACTAGGGGGCGGCGCTGAGGCACATATCCGCTCTGACCTGCGAATGCGCTGCATACGCCGAGGCTTTCCGTTCACAGCTGTCTGTCATTTTCTGCCTTCCTATTTTTAAAGACAAACCAATCTTGTACATGAGAAGTTCTTTTAGTGATATTTGTGCTTGATGACTGGCACGGTGCCTAAACTGCATGCAAAACTCATCAGGAGAAAGTCGCACTAATAAGCTCGGGAAATGAACGACAGACCATCCAAGTTAATTAATCCCGTTCAGATATAGGTAAGAGTCTGGCAAAGACACTTATACCATGAGCTGTGAATCTGCAGGGTCCCGGGGGCCCCTCTCCCCCCACCGGGGTGACCCACCACCACTACCTGCTGCAGGGAGTTGGTGTCCCTGGCCCGACTGCCCCACAGTCATTCCAGAGCGCTTTCTCTGCACGCTGCTTAAACAAAATGGAGGGCCTGGGCCTGTTCTGGCCCAGGGAAGAGAGCCAGCTGCATTCCTGGCACGAATATTGACACCGCAGCTTTGCAAGGGTAGGGTGGGGTGCAGTGGGG